AGTGGGTTGTTGTAGGTTTTTTCGGGCTATATGGCCATGGTCTAGAGGCATTCTCTCCTGACGTTTCGCCTGCATCTATGGTAAGCATTGTCACTACCTCTGAGGATGCTTGCCATAGATGCAGGCAAAACGTCAGGAGAGAATGCCTCTAGACCATGGCCAAAAACCTACAACAATCCAGTGATTCCGGCCATGAAAGCCTTCGACAATACATAGAACAACAACACTTTATGAATATCATACATGTTACACAGTTAACCAACTTGTTGTTTCCAGTCTCTGCTAGCTAGGGCTAACATGATCCTGGGAATAGATGTAGCACTTGAATTTTAGTTCATTTTGAAAGAATTTGCTAAAACCAGAAATCACTTGTAGTTTCAAGGACAAGTTGAAGAGAATGCAAAACCAATGGTGCATCTACACTTTTAACTGCCATACCAAATGCTATGGAAAACTGGGACCTGCAGTTTGTTGAGACACTAGCACTCTTCGTAAGGGAACGCTAAAGACCTTGTAAAACTGCAATTCCCATGCTATAATAATAGGAAAAGGAAAAGGTTTTCCCCTGACATTGTCCAGTTGTGTCCGACTCTCATCTCCATTTCTAAGTTGAAGAGCCGGCGTTGTCCATAGACACCTCCAAGATCATGTGGCCAGCATGACTGTATGGAGCGCCATTACCTTCTCACCGGAGCGATACTTATTGAATCCAAGGAGCAGCATGAGCTTCTGCTGTCAGCCTCAACTTCTGCTAACCTAGCAGTTCGAAAACATGCTAATGTGAGTATCTACTCACATTTGCATGTTTTCAAACTGCTAGGTTAGCAGAAGTTGAGGCTGACAGCAGAAACTCATGCCGCTCCTTGGATTCAAACCTGTGATCTTTTGGTCAACAAGTTTAACCCACTGTGCCACCGTGGAGCTGTAAAAATGTATAGGGTGGGGTGGGTGAAAATAACTGCGTAGCACAAGAACTCGCATCAGCCGTCACCACTGAGTAACAATTCCTTTGTAGTTTTGCAAGGTTTTTGAAACAACAATAAATGACAGTAAAAATGCATGCCATTTATGGTTGACAACTTGGAAATAACTATTACTAGGTTGTTGTGGGGGTTTCGGGTTGTATGGCCATGTTCTAGAAGCATTATCTCCTCTTTTAATCAAGATGGCCAATTGAAACATTTACACTTAGCTCCAACAGACAAGAGTTCTTTCTCCCACCCTGGATATTCCACAGATACATAAACGTAATTTTCCTAGTTTCCAACAGCCCTCAGAACCTCTGAGGTTGCCTGCCATCGATGAAGGCAAAACTTCAGGAGAGAATGCTTCTGGAACATGGCCATATGGTCTGAAAAACCTACAACAACCTATATTCAGAGGTGGTTTGCCTCTCAAACTCTGCTCCTCCAGGAGTTTTGGACTGCATCTCCCAGAAATCCCAGCCAGCTTACCAGCTGTTAGGAATTGTGGGAGCTGAAGTCCAAAACATCTAAAGGAGCAGAGTTGGAGAAACTCTGGTCTACAGAACCAGCTAGTCCTTGATTGTCCCCTTCCAAGTACCAACAATGCACCACCCTTTTTAGCTTCCAAGATCAAACAAGATCCTGGTATTTGAGCCTTATAATAAGAGACACCTGGCAGCCCTATTGCTCTGGCATGACACCTCTCCACACCAGGTGGGAGAAAATCATGGAAAGCCATAGAAATAAGTAAGACACCATATGGAGTTGGCTTTAACTGCCTTCATGTGATGAAATGAAGTGAGAGCCAGGCTAGCTCGGCTTTCTCTAGATAGCACCCACTGTCTTTAAATGAGTCAGGATCCCATAGAGCTCTGCTTTGCTTTTTTTCCCAGAGTCTTAAAATAGTTTTCTTCTAAGGGAGACAGTCAAAGGACAGCAGAAAATCTTGGGCAGCAGAAAACCGAGTGGCTCAGAGGGAGTCACAGACATCTGGCAAAAGCATAGGATTGACTCAATGCCTCTTTCTAATTATACTTGGAAAGCAATGATAGCAGTGCTCATAAAAAAAGAAAGAAGTGTGCTATACTGAACTGACCTACTTTCTTGAGACTGCCCCAGGTGCATCTACACCAGTGGTTCTCAACCTGTGAGTCCCCAGGTGTTTTGGCCTACAACTCCCAGAAATGCCAGCCAGTTTACCAGCTGTTAGGACTTCTGGGAGTTGAAGGCCAAAACATCTGAGAACCCACAGGTTGAGAACCACTGATCTACACTGTAGAATTAATTTAGTTCGACACCACCTTAACTGCTATGACTCAATGCTATAGAATCATGGGAGTTGTGGTTTTACAAGGTCTTTAAGGTTCTCTGCCAGAATGTTGGTGCCTCACTATACTACAACTCCCATGATTCCATAACAGTGAACCATGGCAGGTAAAGTGGTGACAAACTGCATTAATTCAACAGTGTGCAAGCACCCTTAGACATAGTTTGCATTGATATATATATATACAACTAGCAGTCCCCTGCCACGCATTGCTCTGGCCCAGTCTGGTGATCTGGAAAATAAAGTAATGAGAAAGTGTCGGTTTCTAATATATTTATGCTTGTGGCAAACAGAATTTATTGATGTTTCTTTGCCAGTGTTGATGTGGAGATTGTCTGGTTTGCCTACTCTGGAACATGCAACATATCATTGTCCTTCTTTAGGGGTTCCTTTCAAATCTTTGATACTGCATCTATCATATACATATATATGTGTGTGTGTGAATGGCTGGATGGCCCTTTGTCAGTAGGGCTTTGATTATGATTTCTTGCCCTGGTGAAGAGAGTTGGACTGGATGACCTTAAGGCAGCATTTCTCAACCTGGGAAGTCAAGACCCGGGGGGGGGGGGGTCACCAGGGAGGTGTCAGAAGGATATTTTCTGTTGGTTATGGGGGTTTTGTGTGGGATGTTTGGCCCATTTCCATTGTTGGTGGGGTTTGGAATGCTCTTTGATTGTTGGTGAACTATACAACCCAGTAACTACAACTCCCAAATATCAAGGTCTATTTTCCCCAAACTCCATCTGTGTTCATATTTGGGCACATGGAATATTTGTGCCAAGTTTGGTCCAGATCCATCATTGTTTGAGTCCACAGTGTTCTCTGGATGGAGGGGAACTACAATTCCAAAACTCAAGGTCAATGCCCACCAAACCCTTCTAGTGTTTTCTGTTGGTCATGGGAGGCCTGTGTGCCAAGTTTGGTTCAATTCCATCGTTGGTGGAGTTTGGAATGCTCTTTGATTATAGGTGAACTATAAATCCCAGCAACTACAACTCCCAAATGACAAAATCATAATTTTGAGTGATGGTCACTCCTTGTCTTATGAGACGTTTTGTTGCCAAATGTGGTGTGATTTCGTTCATTGGTTCTTTTGTTTTTAAGGTACTCATTACGCACAGAGCATTTATATATATATATATAGATTTATTTATATCAAAAGCCTACATGTTAGAATCCTATTTTATGCCCATATATGTAGTTTCAAATGAATACTTGTATAGTAAATATATATTTATACTAACTAAAACCCTCAGTGAGTTCTTTTTTCTGCCGTTCATAGTTTCCAATTAATGTTAGCCATGTTCCTGAACAGAAATACTTTTGGCTTGTATTGCGACACTTCTTTTTTAAAAATAAAAGTAATAGTTTCAATAACTCTGCATGTTAACTGTGTTCCAAACTCGGAATGACTCATTAGTGAAACCAGGGTTTTGCTAATGTTCCTTCACTATTCTAGATCAGATATTATCTGGTAACCTCCCATTGTCTTTAAAACAAATTGAGATGGATTGCAGAGCCATTCCTTTCAGTCGAGCTGAAAACATCTTCCATAGAAGTGGTTCTCAAATCCTGGTCCTCCATGTGTTTGGGACTTCAGTTCCCATAAGTCATGAGCATTGACTATATTGTATTGTCGAAGGCTTTCATGTCCGGAATCACTGGGTTGTAGGTTTTCCGGGCTATATGGCCGTGTTCTAGAGGCATTCTCTCCTGACGTTTCGCCTGCATCTATGGCAAGCATCCTTCCAACAGACCTCACCACCTCTGAGGATGCTTGCCATAGATGCAGGCGAAACGTCAGGAGAAAATGCCTCTAGAACATGGCCATATAGCCCGGAAAATCTACAACAACCCATTGACTATGTTGGTTAAGATTTCTCATAAAGTTGAATCCAGAACACATGAAGGATCAAAGTGCTATGCTATGGAATCCTGGGATTTGTAATTTTGGCCAAGAAGAGTAAAGACATATTGGCCAGGACTTCTCTGAGTTGAAATTCAGAATACACGGAGGACCAGAATGTGGTGGAGCAACACTAGGAATCCTGGGATTTGCTGTTTTGACGGAGATCTTCTTAAAATTACAACTCCCATGATTTCATAGCATTGAGCCATGGCAGTTGAAGTATCAAACTGCATTAATTCTACAATGTAGATGCATCCCTAGCTTGAGAACTACTCCTATAAGACACTCCTCAAAATCAGTGGTTCTCAGCCTGTGGATCCCCAGAAATTTTGGCCTTCAACTCCCAGAAATCCTAACAGCTGGTAAACTGGCTGGGATTTCTGGAAGTTGTAGGCTAAAACACCTGGGGACCCACTGCTCTAAATGATAGCACTTGTGTCTTCTAGCTACCTAGCAGTTGCGGTGTACTGGATCTCTCTAGTAGGGAATTCTCAGTTTTTGAGTAAACTACAAATCCTAGGATTCCAAGGGTAGATCCATGCTTCTTGGCAGAATGGGGTTGGACTGGATGGCCCATGAGGTCTCTTCCAACTTTTTGATTCTATGATTTATGGTATCAAGGGGTGACCAGTGCAAGAGGTGTGTATAATATATTCACTGCCTATATTAATTATATCCTATGCTAGAGCACTATGCATAGCATGTTGTTCTTTCAAGATTTCAATATTTTTTTTTTCCTGGAGGTAAGCACATGGATTCATATAATACTTGATCTGGGTATCTGTTTTCCCCATTTTAGGGAGGATCTGCCTTCTCTCCGGTGTCAACGATCAATGAGAAGAAAGCAGGGGCACAGGCTGCTGTTTTGGCTCGTGAACTTGGCTGCCCTTCAGACAGCCCCGAAGGAACCGTATCCTGCCTCCGCCGGTTGCCTGCCAAAGCTCTCAATGATGCACAAACAAGGGTGGGTCTCTTTCATGTTTTTGGTGGCAGTGCTCAAATTGGTGGGCTTTCCAGAGGCCACTGCAATGCATTAAAAGAATATGTTTGTTATCTTGGACCATAATAGAACCTAACAATAATCCTGCTGTTTATTGTTCATTTTATTTAATGATTACGGTGAGCATATGCCAGGGGTTAGCACAGTTAAGTATGGAACTACAACTCGGACTTCTCCTGCAAGTGTAGATTTGAGTTATTGCTGTCAAAATAAGTAACAGAGAATGGCCAATAGGAACCCTAATGGATAGTGGTGGCTGGAATATACACAATTGGCCACCAGTGTACAAGCATAAGGATATAAAATCTGTTCCCTAGATTATCCGTCCTTGGGAAATGCCCTTGCAGCTCTCCTCTCTTTTATTTGAAAGCATTTTTTTAGAATCAGTGGCTACTTACCATTTTCTGCCTTCTTCCATAGGTCATGACTGCATAGATCAGTGGTTCTCAATCTATGGCTTCCTAGGTGTTTTGGCCTCTTGAACGAGCCAAGGAAGCATCCCGCTGGGGCTTTGGTCACAAGGCTACAATTCCCAAAAATCCCAGCCAGTTTACCAACTGTTAAGATTTCTACAAACCTGCATTATTTTTAACATCTTCTGGGAAGGCTCTCCTCTTGCTCCCACCCCCATCACAAGCATGGTTGGTGGGGACAAGAGAGAGGGCCTTCTCGGTGGTGGCCTCCTGACTCTGAAACTCTCTCCCCAGGGAGATTAGACTGGCATCCACCCTGTCCACCTTCCTTAAAGATCTAAAACCATGAATGTTCCACTGTGTTTTTGATTAGACAGTTCCCTAGGTAATTTTGGCCCCCAGCTATGATTTAAAACCTAGTCCTTGTACATTACCACTGTGCTCTTACCAGAGATATAGTGCTCTTCTTCATTGCTCTTCATTCCCTAACCTTGGCATGTGGTTCCAGCACTTTATCCATCAGCTCTGTCCTTGCAAATGATTTGGAGGGGTCTGAGCTCAGAAACTGTTTACTACTTAGACTAGTAGTGGCTTGTTTGAAGATTGTTTCATATTGTGTTATGTGTGGTTGTTTTAGACTGTTTATGAAGTTGTTTTTATTATTTTTGCTGTGTTATATTTTAACCATGTTGATCAGGCTTGTCCCCATGTAAGCCATCCCAAGTCCTTTTGGGGAGATGGAGGTGGGGTGCAAAAATAAATATATTATTATATAATTTTTGGGAGTTGAAGGCCAAAACATCTGGGGACCCACAAGTTGAGAACCCCTGTCATAGATGGTTTCTTTCCAGCACTGATTGTCTCTTGGTTCCCATTGCAGCTTCTAGCTATAAGTGGACCTTTCCAATACTGGAGCCCAATAGTGGATGGATCCTTCCTCCGAGAGTCTCTTGCAGGAGCTCTCCAACGGCCTCAAAGTTTGAAGATAGATCTGCTCATTGGAAGTTCTCAACAAGATGGCCTGATCAGTCGAGCCAAGGCAATTAAGGTGTGTAGAAAGGTGTAAACCATAGTCATGATGGTGGATGAGAAGAGAGACACTGCATCTTGGATGGTGTGATTTTAATACGGAATGTAATGTTTTTAAATATCTAATATGTATCATTTTTTTACTTAATTTGTATGTGTTTTAAGGCATTGAACAATTGCCTCTGTTGTAAGCTGCCTTGAGTCCCCTTTGGGGTGGAGAAAGGCGAGATATAAATAGGGTAAATAATATGAATTAATTAATCTTTCTTCTATTGACACAGAACTTAACACCAGGGAGAAATCATATGCTTTTCCTGCATGGTTTCTTGCCCACATGATTGGTGTCAGCTAGCAAAGACATGCAGGAAGCATGGCTAAATCAAATTACCTAATGTGTTGCACTCCAGGACAGGAAAAGCCATGACTGCAAACACCACACCGTTGATTGGAAAACAACCTTTTTATTGAAGATAGTTAAAAAGCAGTAAGTAAAAAGCACTTTAAAGAAATAGGTGAATCCAATTAGGTAAGAAGATAAGCAGGAGCAAAAATAGTCCAGGGTAAAGTTCAACAAAGTCCATAAAAACAAAGTCCGCACTTCTCTAATATAATTCAGCAAACTAGGAAACATTAATCCAAGGCATGAATAGGTATTCATACAATCCAAGAATCCAAATCATGAAGCAAGAAATACTTAGACAAGAATGCTTCCATGAACAAGAACGAGAACTTCCCTTGTTTCCAAACAATGCTTCATTTGACTATATTTCCCATATGTTGAACTTTTATCCCCTCGTTAAGCTATTCCCAGCACTCAGAAATTGGTTTTGCTTTAATTGAAAATCCTTTATCTTTTTCTGTCGGATTCTGGCAGATCGCCGAAGCCACAGTTCGGTCTGCCTGTTTTGACTAATCTCCTGCTTCCTATCTATTTGCTCATAAATTTTTCCAGCTGGGCCAGGTGCCCAGTTGTTTTCAAGCCCCAAATCCTGGGAACTCTCTGGTAACAATTCAGGGAGTACACCATCATCCCCACACCCTTCAGGGACATTCTTATGGGAAACTACACTTTTTCCCAGGGGTCTCCTGGTACTTCTCTGCATCAGGATCATTGACCAAACCATTGCCATCTTGAAATTCATTGGCATCACTTCCCATATCCAAAGCTCTCTGATCCTGAAACACAATCACAGGCTGAACTCCAACATAATGAAAGAAAGATAATGGTATGGGGTATATTGTTTCTTGGACTAACATTCCCAATATTGGCTAGTCAGCAGGGCATTTTGGAACACATAGACCCCAAAAATATTTCCTAGCTTTGTTCTAAAAGGACAATTACACACATTTTGTGGCATATACCATCGTTTTGGGCTCAGTCCATATAGATATAATGCTTTTTACTCAGGGATTCAATGGGATCTGGAAATTATTTTAATCATTCCTCAAAGTTAGAAAAGTTGGAAAAGGCTGGTACAGAGTTTCAGGCAAACAATTTGAACACAATCCATTCTGGGTTCTAGGATCCCAGATCTGCACTTACACATAGGAGAATGAATGCAGTTTGTCATCACCTTGGCTACGATGACACAATGCTATGGAATCCTGGGATTTGTAGTTTGTTGAAGCATCAGCACACTTCAGTAAAGAAAGCTAAAGACCTTGTGGAACCACAATTCCATGATTCCATCGTGTTGAAATGGTGTCAGACCTCATTAATTCAACGGTGTAGACGCAACATCAGAAAATATCACAAGGAGAGCCATGGTGTCATTTCTCTACCATCAGCCCCAAATGCTGCTGGCCTAAAACTCCCAGACTCAACCATTGGCCATGTTGTCTGAGGCTCACAAAGCAGAAGACTGATTATTTATGTGGCACCAAGTTTAAAAACCAATGATTTGTGTGAATACTGAGGAGGAAACCACCTTGTTTAAATTAAGATAACGTGAGACAAAATGTCTGTGAATGTACTAAAGCATTCAGCAGCCAGACAGTTGTGTGTCACCTCTTCACCAAGATTGGCTCTCATTCATTTTTGTCTAAGAGTCTTGGTTGATAATACTTGTTCTTTCATTCTTCCAGTCTCGGATTATTGTTAGGGACTTTGTGCTGACCTGTTGTTAATTAGCATCAATTTTACCACATGTGCCTGTCTGCTTTTGAAGCACCAGACAAATAAAGAATGTCTGCTGGTGGCTCTGAAATTGCACCAGCAACCAACTCTTTTAACATCCTCCAGCTCCTTCCAGCAAACTATGAACAGTAGAAAATTACTTATATGTATTTCTGTGTACTTATTTCTATTTCAAATGTATTTCTGCAGGGATCAGCCAGTGGAGGCTATGAAATTCCAAGCTATATTGTTAGGGAATGAAAGAATATTCACCAGTATTCAGCTTTATATATTTTCTTACAAGTAAAAATAGCCTTGTCGAAGGCTTTCATAGAATCATAGAATCATAGAGTTGGAAGAGATCTCATGGGTCATCCAGTCCAACCCGCTACTAAGAAGCAGGAATATTGCATTCAAAGCACCCCTGACAGATGGCCATCTAGCCTCTGTTTAGAAGCCTCCAAAGAAAGAGCCTCCACTACACTCTGGGGCAGAGAGTTCCACTGCTGAACGGCTCTCACAGTCAGGAAGTTCTTCCTCGTGTTCAGATGGAATCTCCTTTCTTGTAGTTTGAAGCCATTGTTCCACGTCCTGGTCTCCAAGGAAGCAGAAAACAAGCTTGCTCCCTCCTTCCTGTGACTTCCTCTCACATATTTATACATGGCTATCATATCTCCACTCAGCCTTCTCTTCTTCAGGCTAAACATGCCCAGCTCCTTAAGCTGCTCCTCATAGGGCTTGTTCTCCAGACCCTTGATCATTTTAGTCGCCCATCCTGACACATTCCAGCTTGTCAACATCTCTCTTCAATTGTGGTGCCCAGAATCGTGGCCAAATCACTTGGTTGCTGTGGGTTTTGTTGGCTGTATGGTCATGTTTCAGAAGCATTCTCTCCTGACATTTCACCCACATCTATGGCAGGCATCCTCAGAGGTATTAAAAAGCTCTAAAATCAGGACAGTAATTAAAGAATTTATTTATTAATTTATTTACAGTATTTATATACCGCCTTTCTCACCCT